AGGAGAATTTTCTTTTACCATTGTGAAGCTCTTGAAAAGCTCTACAAAATTCGTCCTTGCGGCTTTTTATTTAGATAGGGGCTTTCGCAGAAAATCACGACTTAAACGACGGACACTGCAAATATAGGATCCTTTTATGTAACATCATTACACGATCAAAAAGTCTTTTCAGAAACTCGAGAGTTCGAGATAAACTACTCATTTTTATAGCATAAATAGAGCATGACGAGCTGCGTCGCATAGCGCTTGAGAAAATTTTCTAACTCCTATAGTTCTCGAGATAATTGGAAATTAGTATGTCAAAAACGTAACACCGTTACGCTTGGAGAAGCCGTTGATTTGTTCAATTCTTTTATTTAATATAGATTTATTTGATATTAATTGACAAGGTTTTCCTAATCGAATAATAGCTAAAAAATTTTCAGTAGCTCGTCGAAGAGCTTGTTCATGTTGTGTACCATATATAATTGATTCTAATTTAATTCGTTGACGAATATAAAGGGCAGCAATACCTTTTGGTCCATGAAATTTATGTGAACATATTGTCAATAAATAAATACCGAGACGTGATAGATCTATTGAAACTTTTCCTATGGATTGTTATGCATCACTATCAATAATTATTTTAAATGAAGAATATTCACGACATATATTAACAATATCTTCGACTGGCTGAATTGAACCTTTGAAAAATGAATATATTTATAATAAATAGAAAAAAAAACAAACCAATTTTTTTCTTACTATGCATTATAGTAACTAATTAGTTTTGTTTCAGGTTTTAATTATTTGACGAAAATGTTCAAGATCAATTATTCGATTTGAATTAACTTTAACAAAAGATATTTGAATATATTTATTTGAGTTTTGTAAATATTTAAGAATATTTCCAATAGATAGATGTTCAAATGGACTTGTTATAATATGGTGAAATATATTGAGATTAGATTTAAGAATTCTATGAATAACTATATTATTTCATTCTCTTCCAACACTTCTAAATATAATTTCATTTGAATATGAAGGATTAATTGAATTTTTAACTTGTTCTCTTCCTTCATCAATTAAATATCGAGCTTGAATTTCAATTAAATGTCAATTACTTCGATTACCAAATGAATTTGAACATTTTAAATGATTAATCATTGATTGAATAACTGATTTATCTTCAGATGTTGTTGCATTATTATCAAAGTATATTATCTGAGATATATCACTATATTTACTATATAAACGATTATATATTGAAAAACGATGACATCTGCCTTTTTATTCAATTGAATCTTGCTCGTTCTAATATATAAATAGTAATAGTTGAGACAAGAACGCATTTCTGTACTTTTTCCTTCGTTTTCTTTTCTTTCAGACGAACGATGACGGGCCAAAAAATATACGATCAAACTTATTAACACAAATTAGCTATTTTTTTGCTTTCTCTCTTGCTCTCTCTCGAATTTGAAAACAGTTTTTGCAATTTTTTATTCTGTTTTATTTATGGAAAAAAAAGAAATATAGTGTTGATATTAAAATGAATTCTGTTTGATGAGAATAATAATTAAAGATGATGATTGTGAAGAAAACTATTTTCGCTGATAAAATATTCCAATAAGAGAAGTTGTTTGTTTTTTTTTTGAAAATTTTGAGAAGAATGAACATAAATCTAATTAAATAGAAAATAAATAAAAGTTGAGACATTAGAATAATTCAATGAAAATCTCAATATGATTCTTTGAATTTTTATAGAACGAAAAACGTTTTATGGATTGATATTCTATTATCAATTATAAATAAAAATCATTTATTGTCTGTTGATCTATTTATTATTTAAAATAAGAATAAAATAAATAATTTAACTTGTTTAAACGAAATCAAACAATTAATTAATATTGATTAAAATTAATTAAATTTTCAAACTATTCGTGTTAGTTGAATAGACTTTCGATTTAATTATAACCTTATGTTATTTCCTATTAAACTTGATGTTTTTAATAGTGTTTCTTCTTTATTTATTGTTAATAATTATTTATCATATATTGTTATCTTGTCATTTAAATTTCTTCTAATAATCTCAATTGAATTAAATATTTTAATATTGATTTAAAGGATCTGATCGAAGATCATAGATTTATTTTCGATCTGAAAATAGTATAATATGAAAGTAGCTTGCTAGTTAATAGATAATTTCATATAGACTTATTAAAATTTGGTCTCTTTAGTGGATAAAAATTTAAAAGAGAGAGTTTACCAGAAGACTATCTTTGTTTAGCTATTGCTTGCCGGATAAATATTTTCTTCTTCAATTTTGTCATCTCAAGTAAAAAGTCTAGTCAAGTCATAGTCAAATCGAAATTATCAGATTATTTGGTTTTATCTGTAAAAAAGATTTCTATAGTTATTTCATGGATGGTCAAAACTAGTAGAAAAGATTATCAAATATTCGACATGATTAATTATTGTCCTCTTCAGATCAAAACCGATCATTTATATAATTTATTTTGTTTTCATTTGGAAATTTTTACTTACTTCGGTTTGTTCCAATCAGTTAAGAAAATTCATTCTTTTTCTCCAATAAAAAAAGTTTGAAAACTTTTCTTAAAATGACAATTTGATAAATCCTAATTAGTGAGCAACTATTGAGATTGTTATATTTGATCGATTTCGAGAAGAGAAAAGACGAGTAAGAACATCTTCTTTGACTTTTAAAAAAAGTCAATCAATTAAGATGACCGTCTGTTATTCTTCTTCTTTTAGTTAGACATGTCATCTTCAAACTTGAAGATGTTAAAAAGAATTGAATTATTCAGATCTTATTTGTCCTGTTGATCGATTTCGATACTCAATCATTTATTTCTTTACTCTGTATTTTCTCTGAAAATTCAGATGAATATTCTCTTTTTAGATAAAATACGTTGTAAACTAGAATCAGTTGATAATAGTTAGCATCTATAACGTAACGTTAAAATGATTTTCATAATGACATTGACAAAACATAAAATAAATAGGATTTCACCTTTACGCCTGTGGACAAATGTATTTTCCTTCCTCTGTTTTTTTTCTACATAACACAACCACTATCGAATTTTTTACCGATCGAAAGAAAGAAATGAGAACGTTATTTTGTATAGAGTCTACAGGCGATCTTCATTTGATTCATTCAATGTAACTAGATGGCTATTATTATAGAATCGGTCAGTACAATAACTATGTTCCTATCATCGTCTACAAATTCTTATTTGTGCTTTCAATATTGTTGGCGCTTTTATCTTTATTTTATTATCGCTGTGATATTTTCAATCCGATAAACCGAACATAAGCATGATTAATTAACACTGTGCAGTAGATAAAAGTGCTAAAAATATAAATAGCACAAATAAAACTTGATAGATGATGATAGCAACATAGTTATTGTATTGGCTAATTTTATAATAATACAGGTCGAAGTCATCCCATTGGATCCGATGGGAATTCGTCGGAAGTTGTCGGAATCCTTGGTACAGGATTCCGACAGGAAGTTATCGGACGTTGGAAAGTGTTGGATTTTCAGAGTTCCGACAAGAATTGGGTCCCTTCCGACATCCGACAACTTCCTGTCGGAATTCTGTACCAAGGACTCCAACAACTTCCGATGAGTTCCTGTCGGATCCGATAATTTTCCTGGCAAGATCCGACGGAATCAGATTGTTCATCCTGGGAATACCTGTGTAGTTACGTTGAATGGATCAAATGACGATCACTTATAGACTCTATACAAAATAAAGTGCTCATTTCATTCTTTCGATTGATAAGAAATTTGATACTAAATATACAATGCAGAGAAGAGAGAGAGAGAGGAGGACAAAAATTTTTATCCACGGATATATTCGAAGATCTCTTTGAGATTTCTCCATCAAATCGTTAATCGATGTCAGTTTAATAAATAAGTGAGAATTCTTTTATAAAATACAATTATTAGAAGGAGAAAAATTAGAAATAAGAAGATAAATAAACAACAACTGGAGAAATTCGATATTGATATTTGTTTATTTAAAGTTCTTGTTTGTTTGTAAATAAATTATAATAAGAATTATATGTTGCTGTTGTAGTTAATGATACACAATAATTCCATAATTTCGTTGTTCCAAGGAGAATTCCAATAAACTCCCATTCATTCAAGTTCGATTGCAAAAAGCAAAGACCACCACTGAAGCAAAATGTAGCTGGTGTATCAATATACAATTTTTTTTCATCGAAATATCTTAATTTGCCAGAACAATTAACAAATGTATACGGCAACATTAATTGTGCTGGTGTTTTACCATTAACATTAGTAATAGTCTTCAGTGATGCCTGACGATGTATCCATGGGTCTGGAATTAGGTCAAAAGAAGAAGGTGCTGTACCAACATATCCAATGACATTTATCGATATACGATTATTATTCGAAACAAATGCTGTTGAATTAAATGGTATTGGTATACAAACTTCAAAATGTTGGTGTAGATGTGAATTCATTTTTGAACATTTAATTATGCCTAAAGAGAGAGATGATTACAAGAGTTTATCTCAACATGAAATCGATGTCAGAATCAAATTAGAGAAACCGGTAATTTTTTTTAATTCTGCTGAATTTTATTCGTGACATCCATGTATTTTTTTTGTGCTTTTTTATACAATTTTTGCGGACGCTTACGAACAAAACCGATAAATTCTATACGAAATTAATGACTTTAGTAAAAATCTGTAAGGGTGAGTGTGCTTGCAACTGGTAGTAGATGATTTGGCAAATCTATCTAGTTTTTTCTGGTAAGACATAGAACCTTCTTTCACATGTCAACCGCATTGCCGTTTGGTCGGCAACAAAAGCAGAAATCTTTTTTTTTCAGAATATGAGACAAATATGCAGAAATTCTGCTCGTAATTTTTCATTCTATCAATTAGAATTCAACTTCTGTGAAATAAAAATATTATATTCGTAATTAGCATCAAAAACTGAGTCGATTGGGGTGTACTTCAAAACTTTTCCTTCATTTCTATTTGGCAATGAAAGTCTCAATTTTTCAACGTCAAATTTATCGACTTTTCAACGTGAAAAATCGGAGAAAGTCAAAGTACTCAAATAGAGTGGAAATGAACATCAATAGACTCAGTTTTTGATACTGATTCCGAATATGAGATTTTTATTTCGCGGAAGTTGAGTTCTAATTGATAGAATCAAGAATTACGAGCAGAATTTCGACATATTTACCTCATATTCTGAAAAAATCAATTTTCTGAACATCGAAAAAAACTTACAGAAAAAAAAATTCTTTTTTGCTTTTGGAAGCGACCAAACGGCAATTCGATTGACATATGAAAGAAGGTTCTATGTCTTACTAGAAAAAAAAACTAATGTCTGTTCAAAACTATGTTAGCCGTGGGTATTTTTGAAAGAA